TAACTGTCCAGCATCCATCGATCGACTTGTGTTGTGTGTCCGGATCCTCTCCTCTCCTCGGCTCCTCCGCGTTGTACTCGTGTTGTTGCCTTGCCGGCCTCGCATGGCATGCATGCTCTCGGACCTTCCTTTATTGCCTTGTCGCCGCAACGCAGCCAAGTCGTCAACCTCTCTTCATCCTTCCTTCCTCGTAGTTTCCGACTCGTAACGCTCGTCTCTTGCAGACCTCCAAACCGCATGTCCTCCACTCCTCCCTCCATATCTCTCCCGGCCGGCCCTCGCTCTCTCTTCGGTCGGTCTTGTCTCTGCACGCGCTTGATTTGATTCCTCTGACGAGTGACGACGACGACGCCGCCGGCCGCTCGTTCGCTCTTCCCCGGCCGCAACCAAGGTACACCTGACCTGAGCATTCCATGGACTTTCGCCTGTAGTGAATTTCGATTAGTTATGTTCCACCGGCCGGCCCCTACCCTGCTTGCTACATCGTCGTCGTCATTCGGCTGTCCCCGTCACGAAGCAGGAGCAGGTACGGTAGGGGCGACGTCCTTTTCATGCGAGTTTCTTCTCCCTTCTGCTTCCCTCGGGACTCTGCTAGGCTGCTTCATCGTACCACTGCGTGCGTGCGTGCGTGCGTGCGTGCGTCAGTGCGTGTTTCTTGATTCCTGCTGTGCTGCTGGAGGTTGAGACCGCGCGCGATTTCTTTTTTCTTGTGCTTTCTTTCTTTCTTCTTTGTTTTGACCCTTTTCTAGTCTTGCTGCCGCGGAATTCTGGCCAGCTCAGACTTGTGCTCGGTTTTGTATTCACAGCGAGAACGAGATTCAGTTTCCTGTACGTTTTATTCACCCGCCACGATGCCTGACAAGTGAAAATAGCCTAGCCTGTTTCATATGCCTGCTGGAGACAACTGGATTATATTCAGATCAGTTCGAGATAGATCCAATTCATCGAATTTCTTCCTAGCCTATGTGCTCTCGCTGTGTAATCGGCTGCCCACGCCTACTTTTGGTTTATTCATTTCATTTGCTTGTAAATGTATTTCTGATGCAGTTCGTGTTGTATTCTGTACTGACAAAGGCTTTCACCTTTCGGGTTATTGTATATCTCTATCTGCTATGTTCATATTCAGTTCTGTACAGATTTCCCTTTGCAATGCAGTACCACAGTTATTGTATATATGCTATGCCTGTCAATTCTGAATGCCAAATTACTATGCTTTGTGCAGAAAGTACAATATTCTGACTGACACTCCCGGATCATTTCAATCCTTGCCCGTCTTTCAGGTGCAGCAGGCCTTTGAGAAGTAGCTAGCTAGTTTCAAGGCGCCTGGCAAAGACTGGCTTTAGAGCAGCAGGATGTACAGGGCTAAGAGGGCTGCTTCGCTCAAAGCGAAGCGCCGCGTTGGCAAGTATGAGCTCGGACGCACCATTGGGGAAGGAACATTTGCAAAGGTTCGGATCGCCAAGAACATGGAGAACGGGGATCATGTTGCTATCAAAATCCTTGACAAGGCAAAGGTTCACAAGAACAAACTAGCTGAACAGGTGAAGTGTTAAGACTCTGCATTCTATTTCCATAGATTTTCACTGCAAAATTAAAAAAAAAAGTATTTACAGTGAATTCCCTTCTGTTTGCGATATATATCTAGTGAGAAAAAAGATAATTACTGATCCCACCCTCTCAACTGTATGACAGATTAGGAGGGAAATCTGTACAATGAAGTTAATACATCATCCCAATGTTGTTCGCCTGTATGAGGTAATAAAGCTTAAACTATATTTTTTCAGTATTATGTTTCTTGCATTGGAATGGGATGCACATCCAAGTCTACAGTTCATAACCATTTATTTGCATTGTTTTTGTTCCTTTTTTTTATAACAGGTGATGGGAAGTAAAACAAGGATTTACATTGTGCTGGAGTTTGTTATGGGTGGAGAGCTCCATGATATCATTGTAAGCACTGTTGTATCATTGCCAATGCTTCCTCTGCCATGCTAGCTGCTAGCTGCTTTCGTAGCCTAAACTTTGCATGCAGAGACATTTAACATTTCCATGCTTTATATATATAGCACGTTTGCTTCTTTTCTCTACAATGTCCAAATTCACAATCAGGCCACAAGTGGAAGATTGAAGGAGGAGGAAGCACGTACATACTTTCAGCAGTTGATCAATGCTGTAGACTATTGCCACAGTAGGGGCGTGTACCACAGAGACTTGAAGGTGCAATGTTCATCCTTCATTCTGCTCTTTGTTTGTATCATCAGTTATGATCAAGAAAATAATATGAAATTTACATGTTGATTTTTCACGTATGCAGCTAGAGAATCTGTTACTTGATGTTGCTGGAAACCTCAAAATTTCAGATTTCGGGTTAAGTGCTTTATCAGACCAAGTGAAGGTACTATCAGACAAGATACTACAGAAATTATTGTGTTTTATTTCTTTCTGTTTCTTTCTTTCTATCTTTTGGTTTCACTGCATTTCACTAATTTACACCACAATCTTTAACTAATTCAATGCTAGCAGAATGATGGATTGCTGCATACTACATGTGGAACACCTAACTATGTTGCTCCAGAGGTAATATTTTTTTGTACATCACTTTTTTTTTAACCAGAAATAAGTTTACCTAATGCAGATTGATATCCAATACGTAGGTTATTGATGACAAAGGCTATGATGGTGCCCTTGCTGACCTTTGGTCTTGTGGGGTGATCCTTTTTGTGCTGCTCGCAGGGTGTCTGCCTTTCGAGGATGACAACATCGCATCCCTATATAAAAAGGTATGTACATGAAACTGCTACTTCTTTGACACCCCCCCCCCCCCCCCTACACACACACACACAAAAACACCTGAAAAACTGACATTTTAGGATACATTTTCTTTTATTTTATCTCTGTTGCAGATCTCAGAAGCTCAGTTTACATGTCCATCTTGGTTTTCTGCTGGAGCAAAAAGGCTGATCAACAGAATTCTGGATCCTAATCCTTCCACTGTAAGTCACTACTTAAATATGAATGTAGAAAAGAACAATTTTCATGAAGCACAAGTGACAGCTTGAAGTCAGTACTGGATGATTTTCAAGATAAACATTTTCACTCTTAGATCACCACTGCTTGTCAGTGCCTGTGTTGCTTGTGGAATTCTATCTTACTTGGTTTTTTATTGTTACTTTAACAGCGGATTACAATCCCTCAAGTACAAAAAGATCCATGGTTTAAAAAAGGTTACAAGCAACCTGTTTTCGATAAAATATTTCAAGCTAGTCTAGATGATGTTGATGCTGCCTTTGGAGACTCAGAGGTGAATTAATTGATTAAACCAGCTTATATCACTTAAAAGTATAAGGCTTTTGTGGTTGAAATAATATTATTAAGTTGACGGTGCCGTACATTTTTCAGGAACATCATGTGATTGAGGAAATTGACGGGCAACCAGCCTCCATGAATGCATTTGAGTTGATTTCAATGAACAAAGGGTTGAATCTGGATAATTTTTTTGAATCTGATAAGGTAAGGATATTTCAGTTTCAGTTGCAGAAGTGTGTATCATGAATCAGTTTATATCGCCTATATAATGTGTTTTACTATACACATTTTCTACAAAACAGTCTGAAATGTGCAATTGTGCTGATGAGCTCAATTTTACTAATCTCTGACAGAAGTACAAGCGAGAAACACGATTCACATCACAGTGTCCTCCGAAAGAAATCATCAATAGAATAGAAGAAGCTGCTAAGCCACTTGGATTTGATGTCCAAAAGAAAAATTACAAGGTATGATGACTTGCCTCTATTCCTATTATCATTTTCTTCAGAAAAGATGTTCCTATTATCACAATAGCACTCTTGAACTAATCCTTCAAAGCTTGAAGCAAATTTGAGTATCAATATATACAGTAATATTTATCACCACCTACCAACAACACATAATTTTTTTCTCCCCCATTGTTCTTTTAGATGTTACTGGAAAACCCAACAGCAGGAAGAAAAGGAAATCTTAATGTTGAGACTGAGGTAAGGGAGAACACACAACGATAAGAAAAAACTTTGGAAATAAAAGAGAATTATTAATTGAGATACTATCCTGTGGCATGTTTAGGTTTTCCAAGTGGCTCCATCGCTTCATGTGGTTGAGCTGAAGAAGGCAAAGGGAGATACTCTGGAGTTTCAAAATGTACTAATCTTACTCAAAATAGTTCAAATAGTCAATTCAGTATCTAAACTAACATCTACCATTCACAGTTCTACAAAACTCTGTCCACGGAGCTGAAGGACGTCGTTTGGGCGTGTGATGATGAAATCGAAGACAGAAGCTCCTCTCCATGAAACAGTTGCAGGCTTTCAGGCTTACAGAACTTAGTGGGGGGCCGAGATGAGGAATATAGTGCTAGTTTTGCCTGTACATAGCTCTTGTTTGTTACAACTCCAAAAGATAAAGTTTAGTGCCCAGTGTACATATAGGCTTCGCTAGACAATGCAGCCGAAGGTTTTCAGCGCCCAAGACCTGCTAATGATGGTCTGGAATGAATGAAGTGGTAGATGAAACATAGATCAGAAGGCTGGTTGAGTGGTTGCAGTGAAACACTGAATATGGTGTTGAGCTATTCATATTCATTGGTTCAATTTACTCCAAATCTTTCTAGAATAGAATGATTGTTGTTAGTTGGTGAACCTTCAGGAAGAAATGGACCACCGTTACAGCCTGTGGTATCAATCTCAGTCAATGTTGCATCCAACAATACCTTGCGAACAAATGTAATGCATTGGATGTCTGAATCCATTTGTTTCAGTTGTAGCTCTAGATAACTAGCCTACCCCAACTTGCTTGGAACTGAAAGGCTATGTTGTTGTTGTTGTTGTTGTGTTGTAGCTCTAGATAACGATTTATTGTTTTGCCAAAATGCAATACACATGCGATCAAACAAGTTCCACGCACTACTCAGATCATAGTAAAAACGGTACAAGTTTCAAATGCAACCATGCCATGAAAGTGGGCATGCCTCAAGCTTTCACCAGGTTTTCTGCAAATTCCGCACCAGTAGCCTCCTTATCAAATGGTTTGCCTGAATCTAAGGCCTCGGGAACATTTGCACTCTTGAGGTCTTCCAGGATGCATGAGCTCCATTCAGAAAGCTGTTTCACAGACACATCATCTGCGAAAGAACATATCAGATAATCAGTGAGAAAGCACTATGCATAAACACTGGTGAACAGCTGAGTGAAAAACAAGCAGCTTGTATATGCTGATTCCATGGAGACAAATCGAACAGAAAGATTTGGGAGGAGTGCGAACCAAGCCTAGGGACAGTGTGGCCCTGAGGATGCCTTATGATGAGAGGCTCATCAAAGGCAGAAGCCAGCTCCTCGGAAGGTAGCTTGAGCCAGTCCTTTTCTCCAATAAAGTGCACTGATTTCACCTTGATCGGGTCTTTGTAGGCAACATCGCAGATGATTGGGTCCCTGAACTTGCTCCCAGATATTGAGACCATGAACTTAATTGGTGGATGATCACTCAGCACCTTGCCCTAAATTGCTCAGCTTAGTTATAACAATTAACTAAAATGGTTAAATTTACAATTTCGAAATTCTGTCAGAAGAGGGCTGGCGTTTCTATAGTACTGAAACTCGCAACTACCTAGTTATTGTTACCTTATAAGAATTTCTTTTTCTTTTGCAAGTTATCCTGTTTAAAAATAAGAGCTTTATTACATGGTAAGAGTTACAGATTCAGTGTTCTGTTTCTTGCTACTTTGTGCTATCTCTATAATTTTAGGTCACAAGTATTACAGAATTTAGGAGTAGAAATTACCTGTGCTTGGTAGCCTATCAAAAGGGCCGAAAGTGTTGCGCCCTGGAAAGAGGAATGGATACATAAGCTGCAAGAATCCACTTTATGCTCAACAAAGAAAAAAGCACAGGTTGAAAGACTGACAGCGCCCACATCATTCAGTAAGGCAGATCTGATTAGAAATTAAAGATCAGGATCCAATCCGTTTCTACTGGCTTTCCTATGCAAGTGCTAGGGCCTCATAGATGTTCTATGTGTACAAGTTACAATCCTATCAGAGGTGCACCTTGGACAGAGAAATTAAGAGATTAATTAAACTTTACAGCAGCTCAAAAGGTGTAGTTCATTGCATTTAATCATTTCATATGTAAGCTTGGACCACAATTCTAGTTCATGCAGATATTATCATACACTAAGGAATCTCAGGAATAAACTCAAATCCCCCAAAAGATTGAAACATTCAATTCTCAGGTGCTCAGTAAAAAGCAACTTCTGGTTTCCATTTTTACCTGGGAGAATCCGAGCAGGCCATCAAAAGGTCCATTTTTCACCACGTAATCACATAGATATGAAATGCACTCATCCAGATTTGTGTATTCAGTGAATTCCTGTGTGGAAAAACATGCAAGAAATGGAGTGTTTCGGCACATAGGAACAAAAAAAAAAGGAGTGGTCATATCTGGCATGAATAGCTAAGGCATAGATGGTGATCAAACTGTAGCTGAAATATAACTCACGTATCAGAATGCCATGAGGAGAGCTGATTTCAGTTTGGTTCCAACTAAAGCACTAACCTTATTGAACTGGAACCACTCAAAGTACGGCGGCGGAAATATGCCCTCTATCTCTGACTTTCCACCAGCTGAGAACATGCCATCAGGGAAGACCTGAAAAAACAGAAACGAAAGATGTTCAATAACAAAAACAAAGGAAACCGGTTAGATCAGATCATTGAATCCAGCATAGAACCATCTCAAACTGCTGAAATATGGAAGGGTGCCATTTGCTGATCTGCTTCTTCAAAAAACTGCCGCTTGTGCGGAAGCCATGCAGGCACAGCACCTTGGCTCTCTTGTCCTGCTCCATGAGCTCAACCCTCCCAAGTACAGCGTAAGTTTCGACAAACACAAGAAACTTGAGGCCTTAAGAAGACCTGGAGGACGTGTGGTAGCTGGTACCTACCACTCCAGGGCTGCATGTCGCTTTCACGTTTCAGCCAACAACAAATAGTTGCAACCTAACCAGCACAGAAAAGGACGAGACTGCATTTCACTTGACTTGGCACAAAGAGCATCTTAAATACTACACGTCATGCATCTTAAACCAACAATACGAATCCCCAGTTTGGAATAAATTTGCACTAAGCTCAAAGAGCATCTGCCACGGTAACTAAAAATCATCGCATTAAAAACAACAGGCCATACATTGATACTAACAGAGTGAAGCAGAAGTTGATGTGTGAGTTGGAGGGGGAGGGGGAGGGGGAGGGGGTGGGGGTGGAGGGAGGGGGGAGTATAACTACATATGGTTTCAACTGCAATCAAGACACAGCAGGGAGGGCAATCATTACAGGTTCACATGAAACAACATTTCTGAAAACACAAGGGAAGAACAAAGCAGAAACTACATTGCCTTTCAGCAACTACAACTAGCAGAATGTTTCACTGGAAGTCGATGAAATAAGAGTTGCATCTTGACTAATATGCAATGCCCAATCTTCTCCGCCTTCGGATTATGGTTCTGTGGCTCACTTGGCCATCATGACCTTGACAAACTCCTCATAGTTGATCTGACCATCACCATCCACATCAGCCTCACGGATCATCTCATCCACCTCCTCATCAGTTAGCTTCTCACCAAGATTTGTCATGACATGGCGGAGCTCGGCAGCGGAGATGAAGCCGTTTTGGTCCTTGTCAAACACACGGAAGGCCTCCTTGAGCTCTTCCTCAGAGTCCGTGTCCTTCATCTTGCGAGCCATAAGGTTGAGAAACTCTGGAAAATCAATGGTGCCATTGCCATCAGCATCGACCTCATTGATCATGTCCTGGAGCTCAGCCTCTGTAGGGTTTTGCCCCAGTGAACGCATGACAGTTCCCAGCTCCTTGGTCGTGATGCAACCTGTACAAGATACGCACAACCATTTCTGTAATTATAACTAGGAAATAAATAGTGACTGAAGAGAGAAATAATTCGGCACGTTAGGGGGGGAATCAAGATGTCAAAAGGGGAAATATTAGTCAAAAAGTTTGAAATGCTATGTGGAAAGCAGGGCAGTTTCTAAGTGGTAAATCATCTGCTTTTGACCGAGCATGCGTAGCAACAGGAATTGAACCAATCAGGGTGCTAAGCGTTACCGTTTTCACAACAGAAATCAGTCCAAGATTTCCTTTTCTGGGTCAACTACTGCACAGTATGACTATGGAACAAGGTATTGACACACGCATAGGGGGAAAAAACAAGGTTCAAAGTTGAAGCTGGATCACATAATTACTAGCAAATTACTTACACAAACTGAACTGAGAACAATTTTTAACCCTCTCCAAACTCCGGTAATCCTGGATCGTGAGAACCTAACAAATTGAAAAAAGGTTCGGTAGCAATCAGCCTGATGCAACCTCATCATGCTACACTGCTCACGCGGCCAAGCCCAACGAGCAAGACTGGGTCAGAGGCTAAACTGCTCTCAGAAGAGGAAAAAAAAATCCCTGGCACATCTCGCAGGATTCAAGAGTAGTAACGATCCAAACAAACAGAGAACGACATGATTTGCCAGTGACGATTTGGTCAAAGCAGCAGATAAGCCTTAGGTCCACATCGCCGATTCCGCCACTAATAATAGGGACAAATGCACACGACAGCGACGCAATCGAGCCCCGCCGCGGACTCAGTCCAGATCCGAGCTGGATCGGATCTGCCCCCGTCTAAACAGACTTGCGGGCGGCAATGCCACTACGCAGGCAGCCGCGCACGTTGAACATCTCCGTGGAGGCCAGATCCGAAGGAACACGGAGAGAGAGAGGATGAGGAGAGGGAACCTTACCATCCCCGTCCTTGTCGAAGAGGCTGAAGGCCTCCTTGAACTCGGCGATCTGGTCGTCGGTGAGCTGGTCCGCCATGGGCGCGGTGGTGGGGAGGGATCAGATCGATCGGAGCGGGAAGCGGGGAGTGGATCAGGGACGAGCGAGGAAGAAAGGGCTCCGAGCGTTCAGTGGCGTGGCGTCCGCTGGAATTTTCCTTCTCACAATTTATACGAGCTTCCACTAGACGTGGCCGTCACATTCGGCAACATCCAAATATTTTTTTCCCAAACTACCCCTGGGCTATTCTTTTTTCCTTCTAGACTCAAATCAAACCTACTCGACACAAAATCCAATGACCTTTTTTTTTTGTATGAGTACTCCCTCCGTCTTAAAATAGAAGTCGTTATGGGAGTCTCAAAATAGAAGTCGTTATGGGATGCGTGCAGGTCAAACTTTCTCAACTTTGACTAGATTTATAGAAAATACGTGCAACATTTATATCTTCAAATAAGTTTATTATAAAAGTATATTCAACGATCTACCTAATGATACTAATTATGTATTATAAATATTAATATATTTTATATATATTTAGTCAAAGTTAAAAGTGTTTGACTTCTCAGGAAGCGAGAATGACACTATTTTGGGACGGAGGGAGTACATGCCATACAAGGAGTGCTCCGACGAAATTTGAACAGAACAATCCATATATACCCGTGAAAAAAATCAATGTCAAACTACTTGACATTTTATGAGTTATGAAAATATATTTTTTGTAGGAGCATATAATAATTAATGCCACAAGAATGATATTTCTATATCATTATAAAAAGTAGCATATAACTCTTTTCACTTAAAATAATATATATTTATAAATATTGCAAATTCAAAATATTGCTATATTTATAAATGTTTTAATGGGCTTATCCTTCTAGTGGGAGAAAGTAGGGTTTAATTGAGCCAAGTTTGAGCTTATAAAGGCCACTTAGGGAAGGACCTCTTTGGAGCATAAAATAAAAATGCACGAATAGAAAAAAAACATAAATAGTATAGGAATTCTATGCAAAATGGAGGAATAAAAAAGCATAGAAATTTTGTAGAAATAGATGTTGGGGTGAACTACAGGAAAAATATAGGAAACGAGAAGCAATGGGGTTTGAGAGGATGTGTTTTTTTCCCTATGGAGATGAACCCAAAGAAAGTTTCCTACATTCTCCATAGTCCATACAGATGGTCCTTGCATATGCGAACCAAATGAGCTACAATAACTCATCCATATGGATTATATTGGAATCCCAAGTTTTTTCTAGTGTTTTTCCTACAATTCGAAGGGGCATATTAACATCTCTCTCTTTTTTTACAACATTTAAGTGTCAACAAAATTCTTGGACGCTAAACATCAAATTCAAATACTAAGAATCTCTCTCTCTCTCTCTCTCTCTCTCTCTCTCTCTCTCTCTCTCTCATTCACTTTTATCTTTGGCAAAAGTTGAGTACAACAATGGCAGCATATATTTTATCCCAAAACATTTAAGAATCTAAATCGCTAGGATGTTAAGAATTTGGCATATACACATTATTTGTACCCCAAACCACTAATGAAATCTTGTTGAAAAACTCCATGTGCCTTTAAGAGGATGGTTAGGATGTTTTTTTTGCCACATTCAAGCACTAGTCAGTTTGCATGGGCATCATCTCGATGGAAGTATAAGATCATTTTTTACGAAAAGGATGTAAGGGGACTAGCCCACCAACTTTCTTATAGGCTTATTATGTGGTACTCATGAGAGCTGGTTTAACATGAATCATCAATGAAAATTAGGATTTTTAAACAAAATGATTAAATTCCACAATAGAAGCAAGTATTATCATGGAGATATAAGAATTTTGGTCATTTTGGTAACTTGGGAACAACTCCGTTAAGGTGAGGTCAATGACTTTTGCCGGACGATGCGAACACGTGGGGCCCTAAAGCTAGGGAATCTTGATTATGGACGGTAGTTGGCTTTTTTCAAACGACGGAAATGACGTATATAGCCTCCACGCGGTTGCGACGCGGAGTGCCAAAATTCCAATCAGTTTTCAAAGGAACCCTTCGGTTTGTAGGTTTTCGGATTTTGGCACGTCTGGTGCTCTTGGGCTTTTGATCTTCTATCAATTTCTGAGATCCGGCCCAACGGGCCCCGGAATTTTCCTGAGCACTAGCAGTAGCAGATCACTCAATAACAAGCTCAGAAAATTGCAGACCGATGATCAAAAAAAAAAATTGCAGACCACAGCAGTAAAATCTCCACTATTGGCACATGTAAATAAGCAGGCCTGAGACTGACATCCTTACTGTCCCGGCACTAAGCCGTCAAAATCATCATTATCACCCAAAAATTGAAGAATCAGAATAGCTAAGCTCTAACATCTAAAAAAAAGATTCACATGGATTTGCACCCACCTCTTTAGTTTATCAGATGAACAAATTATGCAGGAGAGACTTCCAAACCTGAATGAACTGCAAAGTTCACCACTGCAGCTTTTCTTTTTGGATGAGCTAGCCTGTCGGCAGCACAGCAGCGCTCAGGCTACCGCTCGATGGCCTTGTACAGGACGCAGGTCACGTACTTGGAGCGGAACCTGTGGGTGTAGCCGAGGGCCACCAGCGGCTGTGCGCCCCAGCCCTTCCCGATGTAGAGATGGTCGAGGACGACGTGCCTCGGCCTCGCGCAGCCTTCCTCCGAGCTCCGGGAATTCAGCACGCCGAGGTAGAGCTGGGCCGGCAGCTGAGGAGGCTCCTTGGCGAACTCCTTTTCGCCGGGAACATGGAAACCGTAGCTGGAGTCCGGGGAGGGAGGGGCCATGAGCTCAGATACACTTTCCACGCTTTCAGGAATGAAGTCCTGCATGATTACAGACAAGAGTAAGATTACATGCAACAGCTAGCCAGCCGAGTTTTACATAAAGGAAGGTACATGCAGTGAGCAGTCGACTTGGTGTAATTGAAACCATTTTTTTTTTTTTTGAAGAAAAAATTGAAACCATTCTTTACAGATGGTCTTTCCACAGTTATATCTTTTCGGTTCTTTTCCTGTAACAATCTAGAAGTCTAAATTGTGAGCTCGTTTAATTTGGGTTTCTCTCCAGCAAAAGTTCAGTGAGCAATTAGTTTAATGTCAGTTAATTGGTCTGTAATAATCAACAAAGGATGACTACAATATTATAACATTCAGACAAACGGACTTGACCGGCTATTATATCATGTGTAAATGGTACATTTCCATATGCATTCTGCCTGATTCTTGTGGTTAAGTATATGTTTAATCTATATAAACACAGAACACTAATAGCAGCATGTTGAGTTCAGTAAAGCTCAAATTCAAACACACAGTAAGTGGAGTCAGATATTCAGTGTGAAAGGGAGAATACTTACATGGACATCTACTAGGTTCACAATCTGACCCATATTGTCGGTTTCGCAGGGAAGATCGGGTATAAATCTTCTTTCTCCATCTACAATGAATCTATAACGGTGAACTCCAGATGAAAGCATCAACAGAATGGTGTGATCTTTTCCGGATTTCTCAACAGGTTTCCTGTCATGTATGTATATATTAATAGTCAGAATAAACTCTCTTCTATTGATAAGTTTCAGAGGCATAGGATAAAATGGAAGACATATATATTTCTGTCTGACTGTACTTTGACGTCCACTTGTCCCATGATCCTTCTACATAGATATTTCTCCCTCCAAGAGTCCACGTAAGCAACGTGGGAATTTTCTTTTGAGGTGGGCCATCAGAATCCTCCTGTTGTTGATTCATCAATATCTGGTTGAACATTGGAGGAGGTACTTCTGCAGCTCTTTGCAACGGAGTTACAGGACTCTGAAATATCAAATACTCCAATTCATTTTACCAGAGAAAAAAATGATATATAGATCAGAGAATCCTGCATGTTATGAGATAGTAGAATGCTACAAATGAATCATAGAAGTATAATAAGCAGGCCTTGGAAAATTTGCTAATGAATTGGCAAAGCTGCATTGTTCCACCAAAATCTGAATAACACAAAAATCAATGTCCACGTGTATACATACACTCTGCAACATTGTTAACATCAATAAAAACTAGATTTTAGCCGATTAAGAGGTTACAATACACGTATAAAAAGTATCATATCAGTAGCCTTAATTTTCAATTTTTCATAACAACACAATAATAATAGGAGGACGTACACCATCTCATACATATTGTTGTCCCTATGAGAAGTCTTTTTTTTTTTCCTGCCAAATCTTTGATCCCTTGGTAAGAAAACACTAAAAGGGCCTACATTCTTGGATACAGCCATTGTCTACTATCAAAATCTAAAAACATAATAATTACGTTAAATAAAACTAAGGGAGTGATGATGATACACTAGTAGTAAACCCATGTTATCATAGCTCAGAGCAAAAGAAAAACCCGCTTGTACAGTGGGAAAAAACTGGTTATACTTGTACAGGATTTGACGTGCTAGCCCCTTTTTCAGACATATACAGAGATTATTATCTTCAGGCAACATTAGAGTGTCAGAGACATAAGGCTGAACAGTCTAGTTAGTTAATGCCTTGGCGCATCATCATGCATGTTCTGAGCTCGTCAAAACACAAACAATCCTCGCACCATGAACTAGCGCAGCCATCAGCCAAATTAAACGAGCTCGCAACAAAACCAAAAACATTCCAGGCCAAACGCCCGGACCAGAACGGACACAAATCCCAAGCGATCAACTACGTACACGTGCGTCGTGGCGATGAGGAACGCCGGCGGCCGGCCGAGCCAAATAATTCGAATTCGAGGAGGCGAGGCGTAATCATAGCATTTCATATGTGATGAATCATGAGAAGGCCGGCGATCTGACCTGGGGCACGAACATCCGCGGCGAATGCGGCCTCGGCGGGCTCGCCGGCGGGGACGACGACGAGCCGCCGCCGCGGACGTAGCCCGCGGAGGAGGAGGAGGCGCGGCGCACGTGGTTGCCGTCGTCCATGTCGGCGTCCGCGAGGTCTTCCGCCCGGCCGCTCGCGTTGCCCATCTCTGGCCTGGCCTGGGGATCCCCGCGGAGACACGCCTGCCTGCCGCGGGATGCGTGCGTGCTTCTCTTGTGCCGTGCCGTGCAACTGCGGGACCCACGCTCCGACGCATGCATCACGCGACTCCGGCCGGAGTGCCGACCGCGTGCACGCCAAAGTTCATGGGCTCACTTTTTATTTCTTCTCAGCCCATAAAATCTTTCGGTCCACGTAGGAAGGAGCGGCTGAAAGGCTCGGCCCATCGTCTGACAAAGCCCGGGCCCGGCTCCTTCTTCAATCTTCAGGGAGAAGCAGCAGCACGAGGCGAGAGGTAGAGCATCCAGCTCCCAACAAAGGAATCTCTCCCTCCCCTTCCTCGGCAGGGCAGGGCAGCCATGCTTGGTCTTCGCGCCCGCGCAGCGGCGCAGCTCCCGCGCCCGTCCCCATCTCCCTCCTCCGCTCCTGCGGCGTCGCTCTCGCTCGCGAGGCTCGCGTGCGCCTCCCCGCTCGCCGCCCTCGCGCCTCTGGCGGCCGCACCGCCGTCGGCGAGGGCGACTCAGCCGGCCTCTCTGTCCGCCAGGTGGGCCGCGCCCATGCGTCCCGGGGGAACCGGTGGCCCCTCCAGGCCGACCACACGCGGTGAGTGTGTGATTTTTGAGGGTGGGGGTGTGTTTCTCGAGCCAGTGGTCGAATGGTTGTAGTCTTGTAGAGGGTTTCATCTCCGCCGTGTTCTCGCGTAGTTTAGGGGTGTTGTTTATGGCGAGCTGTTGAGCTTCCTGTATTGCGTTTAGTATCATACTCATTAGATTCCATAGTGTGTATAGCGTTGCTTCTGGGGCTTGTTCTCGAGTGATTGTGTGCAGCTAGTTTTGCAAATTAATTCATTGGTCCTAGCACATTCTAGTAGTTGCATGCTCAGAAAATCGCAGACAATTTGGTACTAGCATTTTTAGTTGTGTAGTTTGGCAGGATTTTGCTACTTATCTTATATTGAAGGCTGAAGGCCACCTGGTGGAAATGAATGTTTTGCACTTTCCATCATGTAACGTGGCTACTGGTTGCAGTCATTTGCACTTGGAATGTTACTACTCACAAGGTTGAATTGAGAAACTCAAACAAATCTTTGCTGCTCAGTTCTCTGCACTGCCGCCGGCAGCGTCCAAAGAGAGGGGAAAGAATTGCTAGTTCAGCACTTGCTTGTCGGTGAAAAGGATGTCAGACTTCTGGTTGATCTCGAAAAGAGTATCATTGCAGGAGGTACCATCTGATTCTCAAACTACCTTTGTATGTACTTTTGGATGACCTTCTAATCTTGTTTGGACCGTGATATTTAACGTGTTCAGCTTACGTACATAATTTGGGTTAATTGGGAACATATGCAATTACAATGGAAATGGCATTATTGAACATTTCAGGAGCAGACTTGAGTGATTTGGCTGTGGAGCACTCCTTATGTCCATCCAAAGAAAATGGTGGTATGCTCGGGTGGGTTCGAAGGGGACAGATGGTACAGCATTAACTTGTTTTTCTAGCATAGCAGTAGACTAAGACAGTATTCTTGTAGCCTTTACATATATTTATTACCTCCTTTACCTGGGCAGTGTCGGTGAAATCTATTCAGTAAACTAAAAAGAATTATGCTTCAGAGTACATTGCGTTGGGCTACTGTGACATTCAATTGACTTATGTAGTGTGATAAGGATTTACTCTTTCCTTGCAACATGTTAAGAGTTGGCAACCAATTGATAGACAAGAAAATATTGTTGTTTTGGTACAGCCACTTCATTCTTCCACATGCCAAAATAGTCTCTACTCTTGACTATCAAAGCATTAGAAATTTAAGGCAACTTGCCCGGGGGAAAAGTGATATCCAGCACTGGTTCAATAATTTGATCAGTACGCCCTATGCTTTTTTTTTCTTCAATTGTGGAAACCCTGGTATGCGAGGTAGTAGGATTGGTTCTCATAATTATCACATAATTTTCAGAGTCTCACCGCAAATTATTTCTTCTTGTTGGAGACATTTGTACTATCTGCTTACTGAAGGCTGTCACCTGCATATGCACCTAAAGCCACTGAATTATCTGTCTAGGTTCTCATCCATTTATGTACTTTCGTACTGTTTGTCCAGTTGTAGTTTGAACTTTCAAACTTGCATTGGGCAGGTACCAGAATTTGAGGAGGCAGCATTTAGTGCTCCTTTGAACAAAGTTGTACGATGTAAGACAAAATTTGGATGGCATCTATTGCAAGTTCTTGCTGAGAGGTACATGGTACTAACGTTGAAATACTGTGTGTTGGTAATTAGGTGTGCATGAACAGAAACTGATACCTTCCTTACTAAATGCCAGGGATCAATGCGTACTGCAAGACATTGACCCAGAAGAGCTTCACACAAAAATGCAAGACCCTAGTTTTCTCGAAGAGGCTCAATTGATTGATGTTCGGGAGCCTGATGAAGTGTAAGATATTTCACCATTATACTTTCTTTCCCTTTTATTTTGTCTCCACACAATAATCAAACTAACATGGCATTCATGACAAATGCCCCCAACTTTGTGTGTGAGACATGTGTGGCCTTTTGTCCTTAGAATGTAAGATCTGCATTTATGAATGAGGATGCAAATACTTTGCTGATATTGCGTTCTGGTAAAAAGATCAGTAACTTTTGCAATGACATTGGTTTTTTGTAAGGTGTAGGTTATGTGTTAACCAGAATGGATAAAGTTGGGACTTGTCCTCATTTGAGAATCGAGAGTAATGTCCATACATTGTCGTGATCTCACAAATAATGAACTGGATCATAAATGTTAAATTATTAAATAATTGCAGTAACTTTATGTGGTTTCCAAAAGTAAATCTGTAAGTCATCAGGCTAAAGCTGTTAAAACAAGTAAGCATTAATTGCAGCTTTATCTCATATGGACCAACCCCCTCATACTTGGAAGTTGGAAGATCCTAACTGCACAAATTTTAGAGTGTGCCTCACATGCTTGTAGCACACGAATCGGGACGTACAGTTATTTCATTCAGCTAGTATATTACTTTTAGTTCTCTTGCATTTCCAGGAATGATATTGTGATGAGGTTCAGTTTCATTCTTTTATTTATTTAATTATTTTCTACTGGATTGATGTTGAATTTCTACTACTTGCATGGCAGGGTGAAAGCTTCACTTCCAGGCTTCAAAGTTCTACCGCTCCGCCAATTTGGGACCTGGGGACCAGTTATGACAGATGAGTTTAATCCTCAAAAGGACACTTATGTTCTGGTAAATTCTTTTCCATGAATCTTGCTGACAGTATTCTCGTGTTGAGTTAATGGTAATGACCTAGTGAATAGGAGTATATAGATTTCCATGCTTGAAGCACAAGTACTGCACCTCTTTAAACTTCAAAAGAATTTTTTTTTTGGTACTTTCTACTTTCAAGAAAATTGAGATGGTAAATTGATTATATTAGCAGCGGTGCATAATGCCACTTAATGACCCTTTGCCGTCTGTTTTTTTTTCTCAGTGCCACCATGGCATGCGCTCAATGCAGGTGGCTAAATGGTTGCAGTCACATGTAATTGGTGTACTCACACTCCTGCAAAAGGGTGCTCGTACTCTTTTATTCGATATGTGAATAATATTGTGCTTTTCAATCCTCATTTTCCATCATTTTGCAGGGTTTCAAAAAAATTTACAATGTCGCAGGTGGAATTCATGCCTATGCGGTTAAAGCCGACTCCTCCATCCCAACGTATTAGAGGATCCTCATTGTGACCGTTAACCATGGCTGGGAACTTCTCATATATCATAGGCAATAGTTTGGTTGTTGATCAATGCCTGAATTCAGAGCTCAATTTTCTTTCTCATACTGTGTATCAGAAGTTTTGGGATCCCTACGGAGGAAATGTATACAGCTATTTTTGTAAAAAAAGATACATGAGAATTTGCTTTATTGAATGAACCGTTTCATCAGGAAATTTCTGTTGTGACATTCTGAGATTCTGGATGTTCTTAACTTGTCAGTTGTCACCGAGGACTGCAAATTGAAGTACTCCCTCCCTCCCTCCCTCCCTCTGTTGGGCATAGGCGAATGACTTCACAATGACAGGGGTCAAGGCTGGCTTGAGCGGGTCGAGACGACGGACTAGAGGGGGTGGATAGTTTTTTTTAGAATTAATTGTGTCGGCTAACTGAAACAAATATGAAAATAAATTAATCGGTCTAGTCAAAACTACACTCCCCTATCTATGTTCACTATCACCTCATAAAGATCCTAATTAACTAACTAAAATGCCGAACTAGTGGAAGCTCACCTGCACAATTCTAGCTAGCAAGGTCAAAACCTATGCAACTAGTCAACAAGCACACGGAGAGTTCCTACACATACCAGTGAGCAAAAAAGCACAAAGCCTGAGCAACACTAGCACACTAGCACTACTCACTAGCAATGATACACAAGCTAATCTAGAGAGCTCAACTACTTAACTACACAAGCTAAGCAGCTAGCACAAGAGCAACCACACCAGCACAATATATGAACAAGTAAACAAGTTTGTGTTAGGGAATTGCAAACCAACAGGAAGATGATGAAAAGTGATTTTTATCCCGAAATTCGGTGGTTCGCCAACCACTTAATCCCCGTTAAGGCAAGCCCAAGGTTACCGCCGATCCTCTTGTTAGTGATGAGCCCACAAGCTCACTCTCTCCACCAAAGGGAGTGCTCACCCAAGAGCTCTAGCACTTCGATCTAGTCGGACCACTTGGCACTCTTCACACCTAGCTCTACTAGAGTTACTCTTCGCGTCTATCGTGGGGCGAGCACAACACCCCTCACAAAAGCCTTCTCTGGAGCCACGCACAACCTTCACGCGGGCTTCACAACGGAGACCACAACCACCAAGCCGTCTAGGTGGCAACCTCCAAGAGTAACAAGCACCACCACCTTGCAACTGTCGACGAAATACTTTCGGCAGTCTACCGAGGGGTATGCCCACGGTAGTAGATGAATCGGTGGAGGTGCGCGTGAGTGAACCTGATGGTGACACAGAACGCAAGAGACAGTGATTAGATAGGTTTAGGCCGTCAGCTTGACATAATACCATACGTCCTATGTTTTTGTGGATTGTATTATGAGAGATTGGAAACGAGGGGGGTCCACCTTGTTTCTATCCTGATCGGTTTACAAGATAGGAATTACAGAGATTGCGGAATCTAGCATATTCGAACAGATCATCCTTGATCGCCAAGGATCTTCACGCAATCTTGCGAGGCACTCCGACCTGTGTCGTGCTCCGCGTGGTGTAGTCTTACGGGCTGGGCCTCCTCTGGCGGCTCGGCCCATGTGCAGCCCTATGGGTATCGGGGGTCATACCCCCACAGCTAGTCCCCGAGCGCCTTGTATCCGCTGAGCAACACCGTATTGAGCTTTTTCGAGCTGATCAACATGCCGCTAATTGTCAGGAAGAGGCTTCCGACTTGTCTGACTGGGAGCCGAGCTGTTGAAGAAGATGTCCGAGCAATTAGTCAGGCGTCCGGGCTATTGGAGTGAGCGTCCGAGCTGTTAGAATCAATGTTCGAGCTGTTCAACCGGAGTCGAGCTCAGACTTATGCGAAGCCGAGGTTTGTCAGAAGGATGTAAGGAGCTCAAGTTAAAATTTTTTGAAATCTCCATCTTGAACGAAGTGTGCCCACTTAGGTTCCGGGCGTCGAAGTTGGTCACTGGCATCCTTGACTTAGTTATCACGGAGGAACTTAGCCGCTTTGAAGAAATCTAAGTCAAAGAAATAAGCACATTCACCGCAAGGTGAAGTGTGCCCACTTAGTCCCCAAGCCTGGCACTAGGTGAAGTAGTCTGGTGGTGCCAGGGTCCAAAGTAGTAGTCTTCAGGTGCTGAACCTGTCGGTGCAGAAAGTGACCAACTAGTAAATATTTGTAGTTTTGTCGTACGTTGTGATCGGAGGTGGCCTAGCACTCAATGACACAGGGTTTATACTGGTTCAGGCAACGTGCCCTACGTCCAGTTTAAGTCGGTCGGTGACTTTATTCCTAAGCCTAGGTGCTCGAAGTTTGCAGTGGGGTTACAAACGAGAAGGAGAAAGATGGGGTGTACGAGAGGTCCGGTCAGACTCCGGTCGGAAGGGCCGAGAGAGACAGGAGCTCCGCTATGAGCTAAGTGTTTCAAGCGTGTGCTTGAGGTTCGAACCTGGTGGTTCTGTGGTTGTGAACTAGTGAACTTGGTCGATCTAATGAATCTGTGATGACTTGAACCTTGAAGGAGCTGAGTTATGTTGGAGGGACCTCATCCCCTTTTATAGATGAAGGGGATGGCCTTACAAGTGAGAGGGAAAGAGTACGTTTGCTTCTAAGCCTTGTTGCCCACGCCGGTGGGTACAGGATGATGGTAGGCGCCCACAACACTGTTGGATGTCAGATGCACGCGGGCGGTTACGTCGTCTTGTTCGGGTATGGCAGATGTCGGTACCTGCATATACTGTTGATGCCTAGAGGCATATGAGGAGTTTCACCATGTTCACTCAGTACGGTAAATCCCGGCGCCCACAACACTGTCGATGCCCAGAGGCATGTGGGGTGCCTTACCGTATGGGAGTTAATGGCGCCCACAATACTATAGGGGAAAATGTCGGCGCCTACAATACTGTTTGTGTCAGGGAGGCTGCAGAGTACTGTTTCTGCAGGTGTACAGGGTACGGTCCCTGGTATCGTGGTTTGACTTGTGCGCCTGGCCTTTCTTTCTCCGTTCATTCCCTGGTCCTTTTTGAGCGGGTGTCCCCGGTCGGTTGGTCCCAGTCGGCTCTGGTTGCGCCAGTTGGAAAAGAACAACGAGTAGGGTTTTGGCGTACCCCGGTCGGAGACATGGGGTCGTTGGAAGTAGCGCTTTGGCCAGGCCTTCCGATCGGAGAGGACGTCCGGAGGCAGGCCAGAGACCGAAGCGAGCGCCCCGATGGGAGAGGCGGGCCAGAGATCGAAGCGAGCGCCCCGGTCGGAGAGGCGGGCCGGAGTCAGAAGTGGGTGTCGTTCCTCCTCAGCCAGGCCTTCCGGTCGGAGACTGGGTGCTTAGGCCAGCCCATGAGTTGCGCGTGGTCTGTTTGGGCCGAACCTTTGTCCGGGAAGCGGGTCCGTGAGGGACCCCGGGTTTATGAACCTGACAAGAGCCCCTGAGCCCCCGGGCGATTCGGGTAGAGTCGTTTGGGGCATTTTTGTCTTGTGACGGTGGGTGCGCGCGAGCGCACCTGCGGGTGTAGCCCCCGGGCGGTTCGGGCAGAACCGTCTGGGGGGTTTTTCATGTTGTCAGCGGGGGAGGTTTTCATTTTGTCAGCGGGTGTAGCCCCTGAGCCCCCGGGAGATTTGGGCAGAATCGTCCGGGGGGTGTTTGGTAGCGGGCGTGTGTGCGTGTTTTTTAGTCGAGATGGAGCCGTCAACCAAGGCGTCGTTGCGTAGCCGAGGCGGTTAGTTTTGGGATCGGACGAGGTAGAGCTCGTGGATCCTGGAGTCGGTGCGTGCCGTGGGATCGGGCGAGGTAGTTAGTATAGGGATCGGACGGGGTAGAGCTCGCTGATCCTGACGTTGGTGCGCGCCATGGGATCAGGCGAGGTAGTTAGTATAAGGATCGGACGAGACGGAACTCGCTGATCCTGGTGTCGGTGCACGCCGTGGGATCGGGCGAGTCGGAGTCACGGATCCGGGCCTTGGTGCAGCCTGTGCGACTGAGGCGGTTAGTTAGTTAGTTTTAGGGATCGGTTGAGACGGAGCTAGCTGATCCTGGCATCGGTGCGCGCTCTGGGATCGGGCGAGTCGAAGTCGCAAATCCTGATGGGGCGAGTTCGGGGTCGCAGACCCTGGTGTTTTTGGAGTGCAGTCGAAGCGTAGCCGGATGGGGCGAGTTCGAGGTCACAGACCCTGGTAGTTTTGGAGTGTAGTCGAAGCGTAGCCGGATGGGGTGAGTTCGGGGTCGCAGACCCTGGCCTCGGTCCATCCCGCGCAGCCGAGGCATTTAGTTAGTTAGTTTAGGGATCGGACGAGATGGAGGTCGCGGATCCTGGCGTCGGTGCGCGTCGTGGGATCGGGCGAGTCGGAGTCGTGGATCCTGATGGGGCGAGTTCGGGGTCGCTAACCCAAGTGTTTTTGGTGTCTTAAGCCCCCGAGCCCCGTTGGGCCTTAGTAGGGGTCGGTTTGAGTTGTGTGCGTTACCCCATCCTCGGTTCCTCACAACCGGAGGGGCTGAGTTTTGTCGCTTGTCCCGATCGCTCGGGCTCGAGTGACGCGCTCGATGAGTTTGCTAACGGGTATGATCGAGTGGAATCCAGGTCCGTCGTTCGTGACGGGGTCGGCATAGCCCTCTTGTGACATTCCATTGCTCCTTTACCTACAACCCGGCAGATGCCTGGGTCATTCCGGAGACCGACCCGGGTGGCCTAATGGCCTCCCCTCGATGGAGATTCTATGAGCTTGGCGGAGGCTTAGGATCGAACGAGAAGGTTGAGATGACTCTGTCTACCAGACTGGGCGAGGGCCGCATGGGGCTCATCTGTGTTTTTCTTTCCTGGCTCTGTTTGACGTGGGGCGGCCTTGAGCCCTCCACAGGCTGGCCTTCAAACCCTGGTCGGTCGTTGCTCCTGTCGAATGAGGCAACTGCCGCTTCGTGACGCAACACGGAGCGTTGCGATGCATTTCGCTGCATGTGCGATGCTTAGTTCCTGAGCCCCCGGGTGGTTCAGGGCCCGAATCGTCCGGGGGGCAT